TGACACATGTTTTTTGCAAGTGTGAAACCTTTTGAAGTAGATAGAGTTGCTTGTTTGCAGCTTTTACCTGCTCTATTGAAAACAAAGCTTTGTACAGCTTCTGCCACTCAGAAAAGGAAGAAATTATTGTAAAAGCACTGTGTGCTAAGAGTGAGAATCTGCAGCACTGGGTGCTAACATGCAACAAAGCACTTGGTGCTAACTTGCAGCAAAGCATTGGGTGCTAACATGCAGCAAAGCACTTGGTGCTAACACTTGGAACAGCATGGAGTGCTAGAACCACCATGCTTGCCTTTGTGTGTTCTGTCTTGTTTGCAACAATCCAACCAATCCAGCAGAAATATAAAATGTGATTCTTTTCCTGCCAAGCACACAGCTGAAGTCATGGTGCAAATCACCTAAACAAGAATGGTGTGAGTGTGGTGACACTTCTTCTACTGGCACACCAAAACACAGAAGCCATCACAGCATCTAATGGAATTGCTAATTGGTGGTCGGCTTCTTGCCGCACACAATGCTTTGGTGATTTGGTTACCAAAGCCAAACATTGGATGATGCAAACATGTTCCCCTTGGAATGATAAAAAGCACAGCACCATTCCAGCTTCAAATGGCTGCCCAGGCAAATTGCTGGAACTACATCATCTTTGGCACAAATGGCATTATGCTGGATTCTGGCAGTAAAGGGCGTAGAAACTCCATTGCAAGGTTCTTTGATAGTTGGCCATATTGCTCGGGCCATTGGCAGCAACTTCTTTGGAATTGCCTTGGGCCTTAGCAATGCAATGGTTTGGTCAAAGGTGTCTGGCAAAGTCACTGTTGTGAGCTCCTGGGCCAATAGCTCATGTAGGATGCTCTCTTCATAATTCCTGGTGTTCTGGATGGCTGTGGCTTGTTGCCCAGCAACTTTGTTTTTTCTTTCCATGGCAACACAATTTGGCATACACCCATGGTTCCTGAAGTTGTCTGCAGGATGGAGAAGCCAATGGTGTTTTCTGATCATGTGCCACCCTGTCTCCTTCCACAAGTGGAGTGAAGTTTCTGCTTGGCTTCCTATCTGGTGGGGCAAGACTGCCTTCTGCCAAGTGGCACCAAACTGTTCCACCAAAAGGTTCAAAGCTTGGAAGCACAACACACCTGCTTTGTGGCTGGTTGCACCTGCTTGGATTGCATCCAAATAATGAGACACCAAAGGCAAAATTGTCAAAAGTTCACTGGCAGTGCTTGAAATCTTGCTGGCTCTTCGATATTTTTTCAACCCTTTTGGGCTGCAGCAAGCAAACTGGTTTGAAGTTTTGGAAAGCGCTTGGCACATGCCAGTGGCCCAACCACCCATGCAAGTTGGACCAGCAATCCATGGCTTCCAATAAATTGTAGAGGCAGCTGCTCAACACTCCCTGGCAAAGCAAGGCATGCATCCAGTCATGGTAAATAATTTTGGTTGGGTGCACGATGTCCTGGAGGCTGCTGTCTGCCAAGATGGCATGCTTGGAAAAAATAATTCCAGCAGCTGTCTCCCATAGTTTGAATTCATTTTGTGGTATGGCATCCAATCTGCTGCTCATCCTGGCCCATAAAGCCCAAATCTCGTCATCTGTTGATAAATGGAGGTCTTGGTACTTGGTGAAGCTGCTCACTGTAGTCAACTCCTGTGGCTCATCATCTTCCCCTTGGTCCTGCTTGCCATCCTTGCTGAGAAAAACATTTTTACATTTTTACAACGAGAACAAAACCTGCATCCTGCATCCCCCTTCATGGACAAGGCAAATTTGTGGGCCCCACCATCCATGATGAAGAGGCCCAATTTGGCATAGAACCTCTTGTGAGGTAATGGTTGTGCTTGCCCTACAGGCTCATGGAGCTGAAGTCCTTGTAAATGCAGCACATGGGTGGTGAACCAATCATGGAGAATTGCTTTCAGCAATTGGCTAAGATGGCCATCCAGCATGTTCACTGTGGATGACCTCACCACACAAATGGTGGCCCAGGCATGGATGTTCTGGCAATGGGTATGGAATTCTTTGATGGTGGCGTATATGGCCCAAACCTTCCTGGCAGTCACTGGTGCTAAAACATTTTCTGGAGTTATTTCATCAGCATAGACCAAGATATGCATTACCTTGTTTGTGCCTACGGGTTGAAAACCGAACCAGTGTTTTGCATGTTTTTATCATGGGGTCAACGGGGTGGGGTGGGGTGGGGTAATAACGTTCATTTGGACTTCCTCACATATACGATGCTACGTTATTGTGCCTCACATATATGATGCTACGTTACTGTGTGGGGTGGGGTGGGGTGGGGTGGGGTGATAACGTTCATTTGCACTTCCTCACATATATGATGCTACGCTGCTGTAATATCGTCTTGCACTGCCTCACATATATGATGCTACGCTGCTGTAATATCGTCTTGCACTTCCTCACATATATGATGCTACGCTGCTGTAATATCGTCTTGCACTGCCTCACATATATGATGCTACGCTGCTGTAATATCGTCTTGCACTGCCTCACATATATGATGCTACGCTGCTGTAATATCGTCTTGCTCCTGCCTCACATATATGAAATGCTAACCGGGCTTTAATATCGTCTTGCAAACTGCCTCACATATATGATGCTACGCTGCTGTAATATCGTCTTGCACGTCCTCACATATATGAAATTCTAACGCTGCTGTAAATATCTTCTGCACTTTCTCTTCTCACATATATGATGCGACGCTGCTGTAATATCGTCTTGCACTTCCTCACATATATGATGCTTAACGCTGCTGTAATATCGTCTTTTGCACTTTCTCACAATTATGATGCTCGCTGGCTGTAATTCGTCTTGCAACTGCCCTCACATATATGATGCTAAACGCTGCTGTGATATCGTCTTGGCACTGCCCACATATCTGATCTACGCTGCTGTATATCGTCTTGCCCTTCCTCACATATATGAAATGCTACGCTGCTGTAATAGCGTTCTTGCACTTCCTCAACATTATAATGCTAGCTAACGCTGCTGTAATATCGTCCTGCACTTCCTCACATATATGATGCTACGCTGCTGTAATATCGTCTTGCACTTCCTCACATATATGATGCTACGCTGCTGTAATATCGTCTTGCACTTCCTCACATATATGATGCTACGCTGCTGTAATATCGTCTGCACTTCCTCACATATATGATGCTACGCTGCTGTAATATCGTCTTGCACTTCCTCACATATATGATGCTACGCTGCTGTAATATCGTCTTGCACTTCCTCACATATATGATGCTACGCTGCTGTAATATCGTCTTGCACTTCCTCACATATATGATGCTACGCTGCTGTAATATCGTCTTGCACTTCCTCACATATATGATGCTACGCTGCTGTAATATCGTCTTGCACTGCCTCACATATATGATGCTACGCTGCTGTAATATCGTCTTGCACTGCCTCACATATATGATGCTACGCTGCTGTAATATCGTCTTGCACTTCCTCACATATATGATGCTACGCTGCTGTAATATCGTCCTGACTCCTACATATATGCAATGCTACGCTGCTGTAATATCGTCTTGCACTTCCTCACCTATATGAAAATGCTACGCTGCTGTAATATCGTCTTGCACTGCCCTTCACATATATGATGCTCGCTGCTGTAATTATCGGTCTTGGCAAACTGCTCACATATTTATGCTCGCTGCTGTAATACGGCCTTGCACTTTCCCTCCAATATATGATGCTACGCTGCTGTAATAATCGTCTTGCACTTCCTCCCCATATATGATGCTACCTGCTGTAATCTTCGTCTTCACTTCCTCAAATATATGATGATACGCTGCTGTAATATCGTCTTTCACTTCCCTCACATAATATGATCTAGCTGCTTCTATCGTCCTTTGCACTTCCTTCACATATATGATGCTACGCTGCTGTAATATCGTCTTGCACTTCCTCACATATATGATGCTACGCTGCTGTAATATCGTCCTGCACTTCCTCACATATATGATGCTACGCTGCTGTAATATCGTCCTGCACTTCCTCACATATATGATGCTACGCTGCTGTAATATCGTCTTGCACTGCCTCACATATATGATGCTACGCTGCTGTAATATCGTCTTGCACTGCCTCACATATATGATGCTACGCTGCTGTAATATCGTCTTGCACTTCCTCACATATATGATGCTACGCTGCTGTAATATCGTCTTGCACTTCCTCACATATATGATGCTACGCTGCTGTAATATCGTCTTGCACTTCCTCACATATATGATGCTACGCTGCTGTAATATCGTCTTGCACTTCCTCACATATATGATGCTACGCTGCTGTAATATCGTCCTGCACTTCCTCACATATATGATGCTACGCTGCTGTAATATCGTCTTGCACTTCCTCACATATATGATGCTACGCTGCTGTAATATCGTCTTGCACTTCCTCACATATATGATGCTACGCTGCTGTAATATCGTCTTGCACTGCCTCACATATATGATGCTACGCTGCTGTAATATCGTCTTGCACTTCCTCACATATATGATGCTACGCTGCTGTAATATCGTCTTGCACTGCCTCACATATATGATGCTACGTTATTGTGTGGGGTGGGGTGGGGCTGGGTACTGTTCTATTTCCCATGTTGTGGTTTTGTTTCATCATTATACTATCCTTAAAAGGTACCCCGGTGTTTTGGTTAATATTGCACTATGTAACCTTTCGCTGTCAGGTCACGCTCTCAGCCTGCTGGGCGGGTTCTTGGGTCTCGTCTGCAGTTGTTGCATGGTGCTGGCATTTGAAGTATACATATATATATACATATCTATTTATCTAAATACGTAGATGTGTTTCTATGAACGTATATTATATAAGTTCATGTATCGTTTTTTTAAATATTTGCAAAAATAGATGTGAACACAGAGAAATGTTATGTTAACGTTCATCCTGCATGCGCCGGTGTCTGTGACAATAAATGTGCCTGTCAATTGCTGAGCTTTTTGGCTTTGAAATGCCAGAACTCCGTAACCAATTGGAGATTTGTCTCTACGCTCTTACTTTGCTGTCGTTGCTTCGCACTGCTCATGCGAAAGAGCCTCCTCTGCTGCGTGACTGGACACGCGTGGATGATGATGAACTTGATGAGACACATGAGGTGGGATTAAGTCCAAGTACATGCAAGTACATCTTGGCTGTCATGCATTTTTTGTTCTCGTGCCTTGTTTGCGAGCTGTTTTCCGCACAACCATATGTCAGGTTTTCGCAGCAGTACTGACGGACAACGATGATGTGGCTGTCTTGGTGGCGAGATGTCTTTTGGATTGTGACGCAGGCAAATTTCGATCTTTGAGCTCATCCATTGTTGTTCTACGTGACTCTTGGGATCGATTTCGGAGACGACAAGATCCGTTGCCAGATGTTGTCCTACAACGAACGCTTGCCTTGGAGCGCCGCATGGCTCACAATCGTTCTCCTGTCTCGCTAGATGCCGTGTACAGGAGCTTGGAGATGCTTCATGCTGTGTCCCGTCCGGTGGCCGCTAGAGATGAATTTGGAGTGCTTCAAATGGAATCGGCATGTCCTGGTGTTGGAAAATTTGAACCAAGCTTTCTGCCAAAGCGGTCGCAGACTTTTTCTGCTCAACCATGTGTGACACGTGCGTCAAATGTTGCCATACCTGTTCTTTGTTTCAACTTAGTTGTATCTGGTTCATGTCATTTCTTGTTTTCTTTGTGGTCGTTCTGGCTCCTTTTCCTCGCTTCGGCTCTTATGGCCTTTGCGGCTTCCAAACTTCTGAGGTCTTAGATTCTCCGGATATGCACTCCTGGCGATCTCCTTGCTTTGAAGTTTCTTCTGATTCCATTGGGAATGAGGAGGATGTCATAAGTTGTCCTGGACCCGACGACTCCCCGCCACATCGCGTTGTCAAGGCGCGCGATCTTTGGCGAGAACAAGATGACATGATGGAAGAGTTGGTCAGGCCTGGTTTTTAGGTTTGAAAACGATGACATTCTTATGTTGAATTTGATTCCGACATTTCTTCTATCTTTCTGGTGCCGTTTTTGCACTAACATACGCAGGAACTCGGAGCCTGCCGGTGCCTTCGCTTCGAGCAATGCGTCGCCTCTTCCAACGGATTGTGCTGCGGTCGGTGGCGCTTTGTCTTCGACTTCTGTTTTGCCTCCTTTTGACCTAAAAGAATTTTGGGAAGAGGAAGATGCATGGGTGCATTCCTTGACAGAGGATCTTGCGCCACGTGCACCAGCCGTGCCGGCCCCGTTTGATTTGACCGAGTTTTGGAAAGAAGAAGATGCATGGGTGCAATCCTTGACAGTTTCGGCACGCTCGGCTTCACATACTTCGCCTGCTGCTGCTGCATCCGCATCCTCAAGGTCGCCCGACGAAATTCGCGTGGCAGATCAATTGGAATTGACCGAGAAAAAAAGAGAAAGTTCAAATGGGGAGAATGCCAATGTGGGAATTACTCTGTCACTCCATGGATCTTCAAAAGTGGTCGCAGAAAGGGAGCTTTGAAACTCGTCTGCCGAAGTTTCTTCAAGAGAGAGAATCGATGTTGGTTGACGCAAGATTTCGATATGACTCGTTTTCCAGAAATTCCAAAGCCAATGAGAGATTTGTATCAAAGCCTGGAGATGAGTTTTGAACGCAATGCACGCCAGGGATCTTGAGAGATGCACATGAGACAAAAAGAGAGGATGGAACGCTTTTCCACCTGCTTTTCAAGCATTGACATGAAACCTGTGGACCATGTTGATTCTGATCCATAGCTGTGAGAACATAGGTAGATATATAGATAGATAGATATATATGTCTTTATATATATATAGATATATTAAGTCACCAGCAGATAGAATATTCAAGAAACACTGGACAACAGATAGAATAGGCCAAAACGCCATCAGCAAATCCAACAGATAGAATATTCACGATAAGCAAAAACATAAAGAAACTATATGATTTTGATGATTTTAGCAACCAAATGAAGAGATAGAATATTCTCAACTGCAAAAATGATGTATCCCTGAAATCATTGATTCTCTATGGGATTACTGGAATAATATTGCAGTTTGTTTCAATGGTTTCCATACCTTAAATCATTGACTATCTATGGGATTGCTGAGAAAAAATGATGCATTGGTTTCAGCGTTTTCCATGATGTTATATTTCTGAAATCATTGAATATCTATGGGATTGCCGGGAACATGTTGCATTTGGTGTCAATGTTTTCCACAATATTGTATCCCTCAAATCATTGAATAGCTATGGGATGGCTAGGAAAACATTGCATGTGGTTTCTACTAATTGCACATCCAAACACATGAAAATCGTATTCTTGCTAAGGTTTTTGCTAATGTTTTCCTAATATGTTATATTTATAGAATGTGACCACTGGCAGCCAGCAAAGCTGGCACCGCCAATCTGAATATTCTATCTGTTGATTTTTGAAGACCGTTTAAAAAGGAAATTCTACAAATATATATTGATAACATAATATTTTGGAATTCTTCCAAAACCATACCTCCAACATCTCCCACCGACCACGCGCTGAGAAAACGCAACTGATTTTTTTCTAGTATTCCTATATATATGTAACTTTGGCTTGGTATTCAATGCAGAAACGCAACTGAATGTTTCTATTTATACCGTTGAAATTTGCAAAGTTGCTGGAACTGCGCTCATCGTGCATGCTGTGATCCACAATGACATGCATACAACACAACATTATTCCATAGGTTCAAAACACACATATATATACATGAAACCAACAGATAGAATATTCCAACAGACCAACGATACCGGTGATATTCACTTTTTGATGAAACAATTCTTATGTGGTTTCATAGATAAAATATCAAGTTCAACGAGATCACCCAAATTCACTAATTGAAACGTTAAAAGTTCATTCTTTGTTGGATACAGTAATCCATGGAGGATGCAGAAAACCTATATATATATATACATAAAACCAACAGATAGAATATTCCAACAGACCAATGATACCAGTGATGTTTCCTTCTTTGATGAATATATTGATATGAAATTGTTGAAATTGTTGATATTCATTCTTCATCGAATAAAATAAACCATTGAAAATGGAGAAAACCTATATATATATATACACGGATCCAACAGATAGAATAAGTTCAGCTTAAAATCATGTAGATTTGGAGATATATTTCCATAATTTATAAGCTCGAAATATCAACGATTTCGTATATATATATATATATATATACGCGAAATCAACATTTTGCTACTCACCTTAAACAGATAGAATATTCTCACCTGCAAACTAGGTTTCACCCGCAAAATCGTCGATCTCTGAACACTGGATAATATTCTATCTGGTAGTGCCTTAGTATAAATAGATAGATAGATAGATGTATTGATTGAGAGATAGATAGATAAATAGATAGATATATGTATATAAAAATAAAATGTAGCTGAATATATGTATGCTGGAGTCTTTATATCGGCTTACATGGTCTGGCATTAGAATAGAAGCATACATCTATTTGTGACCAGATGCGCGAAGCCGTCTTGCAAAACCGAAGGTCCTCGCATGTTGCTTTTCAAATCCTTCACGTCTTTTGAAGCTCAAAAAACACTCGGACACTCCACATGGATGTTTCTTCTCTGGCTTAAAATGCTTGAACGTAGTGGAAGAATTTAAATGGTTGTATGCGCCGCAGTTTTTTCCGGTTCAATGAAGAAAGGTTCCTGCACGGAATCTTTGTCCTGTGTCTCCTGTCGGACATGGGACATGGAAAAGCAAAAGCAAACGGAAAGGCAAAGCATGAGTGCCATGTGTGTGGCAAAAGTGGACATCACTCGACATCATGTCCGCAGCTTGCCCAAGACCTCTTGAAGGCGTTGACCAAGCAGTGTCGAGCAGAAGATTTGTCAGAGCACTTGCGGCAGCAGAAACATCTGCGTTGCGTGGGCGTGAAGTCTAGGCCACGTCGTTCTCTGAAAAAAGCCAGTGGACATCGTGGTTCTTCCTTCAAAACTTGGAAAGCTGCTTCTCCCACACAGAAAAGCAGGAAACAGACTCGGAAGCGAGGTTCTAAAAAGAAGCACAAAGAAAAGGATCACTTGCGCAAGCCTCGCGCAATGAAAGATCATGCCAAGCAAAAAAAATGCACTGAAAGAGACATCGTCCAAGCCTACAACCATCTTAAAAAGCAAGCCTGGTTGTGGAAACCGAAGACATGTGCCTGCGGAGGATCGTGGCAAAGGGCTTCCTACAAAGAGTCGCAACATCGTGGATGGGGTCGCTTGTTCTGGAGGTGCTCAGACTGCCGCAGATTCAGCGATGTCATGGATCACAGCTTGCTTCCGCGAGTCCGCATGCCTTTGCCTCACATAGATGAAGCTGCCCAATGGACCGTTTTAGACAAAAAAACTACAAAATAGATAGATCGTAAAAATCTATAGATTCCTATATCTATTAGACAATTTCGATTTTATCTATTATCTTATTTTTTCCTTGCAAATAGATTATTTTTTTTTAACTATTATAGATAAATCTGTGTTCTTTTTTTGGGTCTATATAGAGAGTTTTTTATCTATATAGAGAAAAATCTTGAAAATAGATTAAGCTAAATTTTGTCTATTTTGTTGATCTTTCATGGTTTTGACCATGCCAAAATTCAACCGTTACCTTCGTAGTTTGCTAGTAATTCGTTCGAAGTTTAACTTCGAAGTTTATAAGTAGTTTATTCGAAGTTTTTACGTTGGAATCATTTTTTGTCAGTTTTTCTCGAAATTTTGATTAAAAAACTCCGAAGCCAACTTCGAAGTTTTATATCGTGCCCCAGGTGTGACCCCGGAGTTCGTTCGAAGTTTTACTGTCAAAAATAGATATCTATTTCGGCAAATTCTATCTATTTATAGATATCTATTTCGGCAAAATGTATCTATATAGGTAACTCTAAATCTAACTTTTTTTTTGAAAATAGACAAATCAATATAGATAGATTTCCAGAAAATAGTTTGCAAAAAATCTATCTATTTTGTAGTTTTTAAACAGTCTAAAATAGTTATCTAAAAAAATATCTTATATATAAAAATCTAGGAAATAGTCAAAATCCTAGAATAGATAGGATTTTGTCTAAAACGGTCTATTGGGTGTCACTTTGTACTTCCAGGGATCCACCGCTCCAACCTTGGAAGCTATGGCCAGCAACTTGGGCCACGGTGGTCAGAGCAAGTCGAGTTTGCAAAAGATTCGTTCCGCACTTCTGACCTTCGAAGCCGAGGCGGCGAAGAAACGACAACACAAGAGAAAGTTACGAGGCATCGTAGAGGCAGATGCCACTTCTCTTCGAAAACTGAAACTGCCCAGGACTACGACTCTCAGGTATTTTCAAGCCTTCGGAGTAGCCAGCCGGGATTCTAGGGAGGTGCAGCTCTACGATTTAGGCCAGGTGGGACTCACAACGCATCACAGTAGTTATAACCATCTTGGACCACCGAACATATAATCAGTCTGAACATGTGATGTTTGCGAATATAACCATCTTGGACCACCGAACCCATAATCAGTATTAATCAGTCTGAACATGTGATGTTTGCGAATATAACCATCTTGGACCACCGAACCCATAATCAGTCTGAACATGTGATGTTTGCGAAAATACGATATGAGATCGGTAAATGTTGTTTCTCCATAGTTGATACATTTAGATGCACTTCGCCTTTCTTGTCAATGGTCGCAAGGCTTCGCAGACGCTCAGAACTATGGCAAGCCACCCGTGGAGAGTGCAAGGGCCATTGAAGGTGTGGGTGGACTCAATGGTGTGATTCGTGAAGGAACCATTTTGTGTTCGGACGGTGCCAGATGCTACCCAAAGTTATGTCGCACCAAAAAAATCAAACACTTCTGCTGCTCACATCGGCAGAGTCAATTCAATGTGAAAAAAAGATGGCAGGGAAAGACAATTGATGTCCACACGGGCACGATTGACAATGTTTGGCGGCTGATCAAAGGATCCTTGCCTAAGACTCTTCATACGAAGAGTGCTACGAATCCAACCTTGCTCAATGGCAAGATTTGGACGCACGTTCGGGCTTGGCAGTGGCGATGGGAGAACAGTTCCCACAAAAACCTGTCCAAGCTCACTGCACAGATTGTCAAGACCACTTAGCGCAGAAAAAAAGAGAGCGCCGCTGGGGTTTTTGACATTTCCACTCAAAAGTACGCGCGTACTTTTTAAGGAAATTGCACTTTCAGGGCAATGCAAAAACACTGTGATTTGTGGTAAAAAAACAATGACGAAGAATGCAAACGTTGAAAACGTGGGTTCGATAAACAACCCGCCGGGTTGTTTGTGGCCACTGCGTTGGACAGGAGCTGGTGGATACCACCACCATGGGGTAAGCTCTTTGGATCCATGAGCAAAAGTTGGTATACTTAATGGCAACAATGACCATCATGAGTATGCAGCATGCAGCTGTGCATCTTGGAGCAGTGGCTCACTAGAATCTGCTTGCTTGAGAACAGCTTGGCTGGCTCCAGACATGGCTTTCCTGGAGGTGATTTCTGGGACACCTTCTTCTTTGACATAGGCCAATACCTTTTCCAAAGCATTCTTGGAAGTGTATGGTATGGACCTCCTCAAATGGTTCAATTTGGCCAGTTTTCGCGACCTTTCTGCCATGGCTTCAGAAAGAATATCCAAATTGGTGTATATTAGCATGGCGCTCTACCACGTTTTCTTTAGAGCTATTTTGTCCAAGTTTGGGTAATTATTGTCCCTAGGTTTGGTAATTATTGCCCCCAAGTTTGGGGAATTATTGTCCCTAAGTTTGGCCTAAGTTTGGTAATTATTGTCCCCAAGTTTGGGTAATTATTGTCCCTAAGTTTGGGTAATTATTGTCCCTAAGTTTGGCCTAAGTTTGGTAATTTTTGTCCCTAACGTTTGCCTCTTTGGGGAATTTTTGTCCCCAACTTTTGCCTCTTTGGGGAATTTTTGTCCCCAACTTTGGTGAATTTTTGTCCCTAACTTTTGGGGAATTTGTGTTCCCAACTTTTGCCAAAAGTTGGGGACAAAAATTCACCAAAAGTTGGGGACAAAAATTCCCCGAAGAGGCAAAAGTTGGGGACAAAAATTCACCAAAAGTTGGGGACAAAAGTTCCCCAAACAACCAAACGTTAGGGACAAAAATTACCAAAAGTTAGGGACAAAAAATCACCAAAGAGGCAAAAGCTACGGACAAAAAATCCCAAAAGTTAGGGACAAAAAGAGGCAAAAGTTAGGGACAAAAAATCCCAAAAGTTAGGGACAAAAATTGCAAAACAGTGCCTAAAGAGATAGCCCAAAAACATGGTAGAGAGACATGCTAATGTGTATATATTGTGCATTTCAAATAGAAATGTTTGCTGAAAAGGCTTATAGCTATATATATATATATATTCACTGTGTTCAATCACGTGTCGAAATAGGAACTCCATTGTGATTGTAATCTGCCTACTTTGGGCAAAATCTTGGTTTGCAACACCAAGGTGTCAATATAGACTAGGTTGGTGCAAGCATTGCAAAGTTCTTGCAGTTCAATGTCTTGTGAAAGCAGCATTGGATGCTACATCAGAAACCTCTTGCATACTGCAGCACTGTGTGCTAAAGTAACAATGGAACAACAACACAGTCATTCAAATATCTAGCAGCTTGTTTTGCAACTCTGCACTTGTGGCTCTTTGCCATCCTTCGCACGTGTGGTTCACATGTGATGGTCCCTGAAGCATTTCAAGCTTTGTGCTGCCCACTTCATGGATGCATGTACAAAAGTGGTTTCGTGCAGATTCACAAATGATTTATGTTTTCCACAAAGCTGGATATGCAACCCAATAAGCGAAATCCTTTGGCTGGAAACAAATGGCTATTCACTTGGCCCTTTTCTGGGCATTCACATACTCTTGCCAAGCTTCTCGAGTTGGAAGGATCTGGCCTACAAACTTGGGATTCCTGCAGGAGCTGCATCCTGTTTGGCCATTGCCCCTGCACCTGGCACACCCAAGCTGCCTGGATTTCTTGGGAAGAGGCTGCTTGGTTGTTCCAGGGGCAGCACCTGGCTTCTGCATTGCAGTCGCCTTGCAGGCAGAAGCAGCTGGTCTCTTCATGGCTTTGCCTTTGCCTCTGCCTTTCCCTTTGCCTTTTCCTTTGCTCTTCTTGTGCCCATTGGAATTTATCTTCAATTGGTCCATAGCTTGTTGCTCATATTCTTCCAAATCTGGAACCATCGCCTGATCATTGTTTCGTGGTTCTGCAGATCCTTGATCTTGGAGGATTGGAAGTGCTTGCTCTGGGACTGCAGGTGGTGCTTCTGATGCTGCAGCTGGAGTTGTGCCTGGCAGTAGTGCAAGACCTGGTGGCAAGACTTGGCCACTGCCACTGACAGTGGCAGTTGTGGCAGCAGGTGCAGGGCTTGGGGTTGCTGCATTGTTACACAACAAGATGAGAAGATGTAAAGATGAGAAGATGTGAAGATGAGAAGATGTGAAGATAAGAAGATGTGAAGATGAGAGGATGTAAAGATGAGAAGATGTAAAGATGAGAAGATGTAAAGATGAGAAGATGAGAAGATCTGAAGATGAGAAGATGAGAAGAT